CAAAAGGGAGCCTTTAAACGGGCCAGCGGGCGTGGGGCTTGGCAGAGCCCGCCGAGGCAAGATCAGTGCGGCCCATCCAGTTACCGGGAACAGGAGGGCCCGCGGGATGGGATCCTGGCCCAGTGACCCAGCTATTTCACCACCGGGCCCCTTCTGGCTCCTCCCCCCGCCCACAGGCACCCTTCTGCTTGTCATATAAAGGAGACTTTCCCAAAGCCGTTCAGCCAGAACGGGCAAGGCCCTGCCCAGGCTGGGGGTGGGAGGAGCCTGGCCGTTGCCCAGCAGCACTCAGGAGGGACTCCAGGTGTCGGGAGCTGGATGGCGACGGGATGGCGAGGTATGGGCATGCTTTCTTCCAGTCTGCACGACTTCCAAGGTTTTATGGCTTTATTATAACTTCCTGTAGACCAGCGGCCGCCCACCTCTCAGACCTCACAGACCACCAGTTGGCGACCCCTGCTGTAGACGCTCCCGGAAACGCACGCAAGCAAAAAAAAGAAAGCTCACAGATCCTACCCTTTCAGAGAAAACCATTTTTTAAAAATATATATATATTTTGTTGATGTTTTACAGAGATGAAGGGAGAGGGATAGAGAGAAACATCGACCCGCAACCAGTGTACATGCCCTTGGCCGGAATCGAACCTGGGACCTCTCAGTCTGTAGACCGACGGTCTATCCACTGAGCCAAACCGGCTTCGGCGAAAACCATTTTGTTGTGTGGCCTTCTATGCAAGTATGAAGGTGGTGTAGACATTTTTAATATACATATACATACATATATATATATATATATATATATATATATATATATATATATAAATTGATTTCAGAGAGGAAGGGAGAGGGAGAGAGAGAGAGAAACATCAATGATGAGAGAGAATCCTCGATGGGCTGCCTGGCATGTGTCCTGACTTGGAATCAAACCGTGACCTCCCGGTTCCTAGGTCGATGCCATGGAGCATTTTTATGAAAACCAGGGGTGGGTGCTGCTACCAGAAGCTTGAGGTGCGGAGAGGGAGGAGGAGGTTTTGAGAGGAGGGCACCACCCAAGAGCACACCACAGGAACACTGGCAGTGCCCGGGGTGGTGAGTGTGACCGGGTGGGTTTAGCTGGGTGCTCGCTCTACAGAGCCTCCCCCAAATCCGGAGTGAAAGAGGCCTCGCAGGCTGGGTACCTCTCTCCGGGTCTCTGCGGGAAAGGTGAGAACTCCCTCACAGCCTTCCTTCCTTTGGGCCTTCACTAACCATCAGGCCCTGCTTCTCCCCACAGGTGGTCACCCCTCCGGTTTGCCGGGCTTCTGTCACGCGGTGCCCCATCCTACTGACCTCTATGTCCAACTGATCAAGCGGGATCCACAGGTCAGTATTGCTCCCACAGCCCCACGTCCAGACTCCCGGGCTTCGGAGGAGTTAACGTCCTACGAGAGCATGTCAAACTCAAAGGCTAACATGGGCCAAACAAATGAGGCATTCGGCCCTCGGGCCGGTGAGTTTGACATGCTTGTCCCTAGGGCCTTAAGGCCTCTGATACAGATATCGGATATCCGATGGGAGTGACAAAGAGAGCAATACCTGCCCACGGGATTGGCTCCAGTGAGATATAGGACCAGTTGAAGCCAGCTGGGACTCCCTGCAAAGGGGTTTCCAGGAGAGTGGCTGTAACCTCAGAACTGTGGTAAAACACCCCCCCATGCGAAACCCTGGGTGAAGCCGGGACAGGTGCTCACTTGCTCAGTCCGAGCCTCGCCCCTCCCTCCAGCAATGCACCTTGGAGCAGCACCGGTTCAGGATTTCATGTCAAAGTGCCACAGGCAGGCCTCAGGGGCCAGGCTTGGAGGATCTGGGACATTCAGTGCTGCCTCTTCCTTCACCCAGACCCCCCCCCCCCAGAGGCTCCCCTGGGGACCAGCCACCCGGATGGGCGGGGCGCCTGGAGGCGGCCAGTGCTGCTTTCTCTCCAGCTTGACCTTCTATGTCAGAGGACCAGTGGGAAGGGCACTGGGAGACTGACTCCCAGGCGAGATGGGGCCAGCCCTGGCCCGGTTTCCCCTCAATGGGGTTCTCTTGCTCAGACTAAGGAAGAACCGTTGACTCACTTCCTGCCTCGCTGGGTCTGACAGCAGGAGTATTGTTCCCACCAACAGCGGCGGCGGCTGCTGCTGGTGGGGCTACCCCAGGGTTGCCCCTGCCAGCCAGTCCCTTTTTGGGGGGCGTCCCCACTCCCAGACTTCTCCCCCAGCTAAGCTTTTGGAACCCCTCCTTCTTCCCCAAGTTTCCATTTTTTATTTTTTATTTATTTATTTATTTTTTTTGCAGTCTTTGTAAGGATGCCTGAATGGTACCTTATCCTGTTACCTGAATATTATCTCCATTTTTAAAATTAATTAATTTATTTAAAAATACCCAAGGAGCCGAAACCAGTGTGGCTCAGTGGATAGAGCGTCGGCCTGCGGACTGAAAGGTCCCAGGTTCGATTCCGGTCAAGGGCATATGCCTTGGTTGCGGGCACATCCCTGGTAGGGGGTGTGCAGGAGGCAGCTGATGGATGTTTCTCTCTCATTGATGTTTCTAACTCTCTATCCTTCTCCCTTTCTCTCTGTAAAAATATCAATAAAATATCTTTAAAAAAACATACCCAAGGATATTTTTTCATTGATTTTTTTTAGAGAGAGTGGAAGGCAAGGACAGAGACAGAAGCTCCCCCGACCAGGGCCACAGGGATCAAGCCTGCCCTCGAGGTACATGGACATGCCCTTGTACCCTTGACCAGAATCGAACCCGGGACCCTTCAGCCCGCAGTCCGACCGTCAAACCGGCTAGGGCTATTATCTCCATTTGAGAGGGGCAAATTGAGGCTTAGCGATTGTGTGTCTAAGGTGGCGCAAAACAGCACAGCAAGGGTTTGAACCCAGGTCTGCTGATCGCATGTGTCACAGGGTGAGTCCTTAGGAATGTCACTTAACCTCTCGGGCCCCAGTTTTGTTCCGTGGGAAAGGTCGTGATGCATAAAGCTACCTGAAGGAGCCTGGCCTGTGTTGCTCAGTGGTTGAGCATCGACCTATGAACCAGGAGGTCACGGTTTGATTCCTGGTCAGGGCGGATGCCTGGGTTGTGGGCTCGATCCCCCTTAGTGGGGGGGCATCAATGATTCTCTGTCATCATTGATGTTTCTATCCCTCTCCCTTTCTCTCTCTGAAATAAACAAAAAACATAAATATACACACGTATATACATATATGTAGATATATGTGTATATATTAAAGATACCTATAGGAAAATGTATTAATTACATCTATTTCATAGGGCTTGTAGTGAGGGAGAAACAAGTTACATGGAAAAGAGCATATTTTATTGATTTTTTTTACAGAAAGGGAGAGGCATAGAGAGTTAGAAACATCGATCAGCTGCCTCCTTCACAACCCCTACCGGGGATGTGCCCGCAACCAAGGTCCATGCCCTTGACCGGAATTGAACCCGGGACCTTGAGTCCGCAGGCCGACGTTCTATCCACTGAGCCACACCGGTGGATAACCTGGGCCCTGTTCATTTTTTTGTCCTTATCCCCAAACCTGTGTTGAGGAGGCCGCTGGACAGGACTGTGCCGCCTGCCCGGTTATCTCCCAGTTCCCAGGAAGGGATGGGCAGACTGCTTGGCGACCTTGGAATAACCCAGCCTGGGGAGCTCTTGGCCACAGTCCCCCCTCTTTTCTCTCTCTCAGCTCCAGCTGGGGTGGCCTGGCCAAGTGGCACAGACGTTTTCTAGGGCAGGGACCCAGGGGGAGAGCCCAGCCGGCTGGCACCTTTGCAGAGGACAGGGATCTATGCTCTGCCCCAGGCCCCTCGGCCGGCCTGCCTGCCTGCTGGTTTGGGGACTCGGGACAAGTTATTTAAACGTCGTCCGAGTCAGTCTCCTTATCTGCAAAATGGGATTAGCGTCAGCTTGAAAGGATTATGTGGGTTAAATAATGTACATAAAGAGGGAGATAATGCAAAGTGGCGGGCGGGCCCGGTGCCCATCTGGCGATTCCTGGAAAAGGCGGCGGGCTTCTCGTTCTGCTCTTATCCACCTGTCTGTGCACAGATAACAGGTTCAAAGCAGATCCTGGCTCCCTGAACCGGAGGTCCGAGGCTTGCCGCCTACTGCGCAGTCCGATCCCAGGTGGGGAGCAGTCAGAGCACACACAGGCCACCTCCCCTCGGTCATGCTCAAACTCACAGCTCAGCCGAAACCCATGTGGCTCAGTGGATAGAGCGTCGGCCTAAGGACTGAGGGGTCCCGGGTTCGATTCTGGACAAGGGCATGTGCCTTGGTTGTGGGCACATCCCCATTAGGGGGTGCGCGGGAGGCAGCTGATCGATGATTCTCTCTCATCGATGTTTCTAGCTCTCTGTCCCTCTCTTTTCCTCTCTGTAAAAAAATCAAAATATATTTCAAACAAACAAACAAAAAAACCTCGCGGCTCAGGAGTGGCAAGTGGGGGGCGGGGGGTATGTGAGGGCCGGTTCCCCCCACCATCCAGCCGCCTCTGGGCTCCCAGATGAACTCCTCCAGCCCTGCCCGGCCCAGGCCCAGGGTTTGCAGGTCCCGGCGCCTCCGGCCGGAGGAGCTCGCGGCGCGGAGAGCGGAGCCGGGGCGCGGGGGGCCTGGGGGCTGCCCCCGGAGCCCGCGATGGCGTGGCGATCGCTAAGCCCGTCTCCTCCCCGCCATCCCGGGGAGGCTGCAGGGCCTCGGCCGGGGGCCGGGCGGCCTGGGCGGCGGCGGGGCGGCCCGGAGCGCGGAGGTGGCGCCGCGCGGGGGGAGGGGCGCGGCGGAGGCGGCGGCGGAGGAGGAGGAGCCGGGGCCGCCGCAGCCGCTGACAGCGGCCGGAGTAAACAAGCCGCCGCGCCGCCCGCGGCCCGGCCACTGCTCCCCTCCCCTCCCCCGCCCTCCGCGCCGGAGCCCGAGCCCAGGCCGAGCCCTGCCCTCCTCGCCGCCGCCGGCCGCGCCGCCCGCCTCCGCGCGGTGACGCCGCTGCCGGGCGCGGGGAGCGCGGGGAGCGCGCGGAGCTCAGGCCCCGCCGCCCCGCCGGGCTCTCCGCTCGGCCGAGGGCGCCCGAGCCCGCCGCGGCGATCGCCCGGGAAAAGTTTCCCCGCCCGGGCTCCCCGAGGTAAGCGGCGATCGTGCCGGGGGGCCTGGGAGCCGGGGAGCCGGGGAGCCGCGGGCCGGGCCGCGCTGGAGAGGCGTCCCTCTCCCCCGGGCGCGCGCGCGGGGCCCGGCCTGGCCGCGTCGGTACTTTTCCGCTGGGGCCGGGCGAGCCCTCTGACCCCGGGAGCGAGCGCCGCGGGGCCGCCGGGGCGGGATGGGGAGGGGATTCCAGAGGCGCCGGCGGCCCCCCTCCTCCCGCCCCGCCGCCGGGCCCCAGGGGCCGCCCCCGGCTCGCCTCCTCCGCGCCGGGGCAGGAGGAGGAGCTGCTGTTGAGGGGCGGGGGGTGGACCCGGCTTGGCCTGGCCTCGCCCCGCCCGCCCCGCACACCTGGGCAGCCGGAGACTCAGGTGCGGGACCCGCGGCGACCGGAGGTAGGTGCTGGGCTGCCTCCCGCCGAGGCCTGGCCGCCCCGGACGGAGGGGAGGCCTGCCTGCCTGCCTGCCTGGCTGGCTGGCTGCGGGACAGGTCTGACAGCCGGCGGTCAGGTCGGGACCTGCTCTCCCTCCGTCCCTGCTTCCTCTTCCCCCCGGCTCCCTCCGGCCCTGCTTTCCCGGGAGAAGGAAGGGAGGAGGGTGTTGGAATTCTCTGGGACGTGGACACCGGCGATGTGGCCTAGCCGGGGCCGGGCAGCTGTGGCCAGGTGTGGACACGGCCAGCTCAGCCCCAAGTGGCCCCAGGGCTACTATCTGACTATCTGCTACACTGGGCTTCCACGTGTAAGATTTGATGATTTGATTTCTCCCCCCTTCCTCCCCCCCCCCCTTCAAGGATTCTGTGGCTTTAGAAAAAAAAAAGTTTGAAAAATCTCTTGGCTAGCAGTTTTCACCACTGAGGAAACTGAGGCTCAGAGAGAGGAAGTGACTTATCTAAGATCACACAGCATAAGAGTGAGCGGAGCAGGGCCTGGCGGTCACCATTTCAGGGGAGCCTGGCAGTGTGTGTAACAGGACCTGGCCTGGTGGGAGAGACCGGAAGGAGAGCCGGGATCAGGTTTCCCCGGGCAGCTCGGCCCGCGCCAGACCCCCAGCGCCTGGCAGACAGCGGCCGGACCGGACCCGGGGGCAGGTTCGGTGTGGGTGCCTCGGAGGGGCTGTCCGTTTCCAGGGATTCCCGGGGCTGGGAAAAGGGAGCACACAGCCGCCAGGAAGAGCACCCACGGCTCACTCTCTCTCTCCGGCCACAGCCGGGAGCCGGAGTCCCATGTGAGAGGGCATCACAGGGACTGGGGTGAGTCAGAGTCTGGGGTGGGGGCGGGGGCGAGGAGAGAAGCCCATTCATTCATTGTTCTCAGCGCCTGCTCTTTTGGGAAATGGGGGGGGGGGGGTCCCGGCTCCCTCGGGGATGCTGAGGCAGGGCTGTCTGGGGGGGCAGAAGGGGGGTGTCGGGGCTCTGTGGAAGCCGAACCCCCCCTTTCTGTGGTCCCCGCGGCGAGCACGCCCTTGCTTGGGGACTGTTCGTCAGCGCCTGTTTTCTTTCCGGGTGCTGCAAGGTAATTAAATAGTTGGTTAATCACCTCTAACGCCAAGCAGCTGCCGCTCGCTCGCTCCCTCCATCCCCAGTCTGCCTGCCAGAACTTGGGCTCGACCCAAATGAACCCCGTCTGAGGGTGGGGGTTCCAGCAGCAGGGCTCACAGCGCTTTGGGGGGCGGGGGGTGTCTTTGTGTGACACCTGGACCCAGGAGGCAGCTATCGTGGTGGGGAGAAGAGGCCTCTTTCCCACCTGTCCCCAGAACCCCAATATGCCCTGTGAATATTGGGGTCCCTTCGCCTCCTGGGGGTCTGGCTGTCCGGCCATTGCTTAGACCAGCTTTCTGGAACCTGGAACCCGAGTCTGTGGCTCCTGAGCCTGTCCCGGGAGCCGTTTGGACTTTGACCCTCCCGGGTGAGGAGCTGGGTGGTGGACGCCGCCCACCATCAGCTGTCAGGTTATTTTGGTGTGAACTGAAAATACGCCAGGAATAGCCCGAGGCCCCCCTGCCTGGCCTGCGTGGTGGGGCTGCCACAGGGGCGGCAGAGTAGCCGAGGACGGAGGCCGGTCTTGGCTGAGGGCAGCCCTGGAGAAGTGATGGGTTCTCAGGGGTAAGCCCTCGGGGAGCAGGGAGCTTCTGGCAGAGTGGCCTCCTGTGGCGCTGGGCCTTGGGAGGGCATCCTGGGCCCCGTGGGCAGGCCCTGGCACCGAGAGAGGACACCTTCAGCAGCCCCACAGGGACCTCCCCCAGCTCTTTCCCCCCCCCCCCCCAGGTGGCTGGCTTCTGGGTACTTAGGGGCCCTCTGCAGGGACAGTTATGTGGCCCTGGGCAGAGAGGTCCCCCCTGTCTGTTTGCTGAAGGAGGAAAAACAACACGGGGCCTATTGATTCAGCCTCACCTTGGTGCCCCTGGCTCGGCAGCCAGTGTTTGCCCTGGCTGCCCGCTTGCCGGGATTGCGAAAGGCTGGTGGGCGTGGGAGGAGCAGAGGGGGTGGGGGCTGCTGGCGACCTCCAGGCCCAGGGGGGCATGGGGCTGGGCAGCCCCAGCGTTCCCCAGGAAGCAGGAAGAAGGAATCTGGGCCCTTGACTTTGATGTTGGCCGAGGGTCCTTGGAGATCCCTGCCCTTACCCCCGGCCAAACCCCCCTCCCACGTGGGCTCATCAATATTTCTCCCTCTTTGCAAGGTACTCGGGGGCTGGGGCTGCTGTGCCGAACCAAGAAACCCCAGTGAACTTGGTAGAAACTTTTAAAACGCCAACATTTTATTCCTTTATAAAACATACCTGGCAATTTGGGAAAGCAAAAACAGTGACACAAAGGAGAAAACACAGTTCCTCGTCGTCCTCCCCATTTTGAGAGGGGCATTGTTAACGTTTCAGCGTGTGTCTGCCAGACTTCGTTTTGTGGCTCTCTATAAACATACGTGTTGTATAAATAGTTTTTTTTTTTTTTAAGACAAAATGGAATCACTTGTGCACGCTGCTTTGTACAGCCCATCCTTTTCTGCTTCGATTCTGGCGAGCGCTTATGTAGCTGTTCTCATCCCCAGTGACTCAAGCCTCGATGTTCTCCGTCCCACTTGCGTGTTCTTGCGTGGAGAGAGGCTCGGGAGCTGCGCGTGTGTCTGTGTGTGTGTGTGTGTGTGTGTGTGTGTGGAGGGGTCCGTCTGCCTGCCTCGCTGGCTGACCTTGGGGGCTGGTGTTCACGCCTCTTCCCCCAAGGCCGCGCCCGGAGGCCTGCACATGTGGGGAAGGAGCTTGAGCCCGGGGCTGTGGGGGGCTCACTCTCTTCCCCTTTCTTTCCTCCCTTGTCCCTCTCAGAGCCTGCAGCCCGCGTCCTCCCGCCACAGCCCTGCCCGTCTCGGCCCCATGCCCCCGCCAGCCGGCCCCGGGCCACAGGCAGAGCGTCGTCGTAGGCACGTGGGAGCCGCGGCCCTGTGACCAGGCCGAGCAGGCGAGGGCTCTGCGGTCCCAGTCCCCTGTCCCCCCCATGGAGCTGAGGCCCTGGTTGCTATGGGTGATAGCAGCAGCGGGACCCCTGGTCCTGCTGGCGGCTGGTGCCCAGGGCCAGCAGGTCTTCACCAACACCTGGGCCGTGCACATCTCCGGAGGCCCGGCCATGGCCGACCGCCTGGCGCGCAAGCATGGCTTCCTCAACCAGGGCCAGGTAGGTGTTACTGCCAGGACCTTTGGGGGGAGAGAGGGGGGTGGTGAGGGCAGGGCTCTGGCACTGGGGCCTGTCTTCTCGGGGGGCGGCATGTTCCCAGCTTGCCCTGCCCCTGGGCTTCTGGCCTCTGTTGCTCAGAGAACCCGTGTGCCCCAGGCCGGGGGCAGCCCCCCTCGGCCTTCTGCACCTTCTTGCTGCATCCTGGGCAGGTGCCCCGCCACGCCCTGCCAGGGTGTGCCTCCCCGGAAGCCCGGTGCCCGCCCCCCCCCCCCCCCCCCCCCCCCCACCTCCCCGGGGACTGGCAGACGGACAGCCCCGCCCCCTCTCCCCGCTCGGTTGCAGATCTTCGGCGACTATTACCACTTCTGGCACCGGGCCGTGACCAAGCGCTCCCTATCGCCTCACCGCCTGCGGCACAGCCGGCTGCAGAGGGAGCCCCAAGTGAGTGCCGCCTCGCCCCTCCCACCCCGCCCTTTCCTTCCTCCCCCCCCCCCCCCCCCCCCGCCCCCGCTCGGGCACCCACACCGGCTCCCTCGCCCCTGTCCTCGCAGGTCCAGTGGCTGGAGCAGCAGGTGGCAAAGCGGCGGACCAAGCGCGACCTGTACCTGGAGCCCACGGACCCCAAGTTCCCCCAGCAGTGGTACCTGGTGCGAGGCTTGCTTAGGCTCTGGGTCCCCCCCCTCATTCTTCCTCTTTCTGCCTGCTGAGCAGCCTCTCCCTAACCTTCCCCGCTACGCTTTGGGGTGCCCTCCCAGAGGTGTTTTTTGTTTGTTTGTTTGTTTGTTTAAGGTAAACCATACTTTTTATTATTATTATTATTTTAATATATATTTTATTATTTTTTACAGAGAGGGATAGAGAGAAACATCGATGAGAGAGAAGCATCGACCAGCTGCCTCTTGCACACCCCCCACTGGGGATGTGCAACCAAGTAATAATATATTTCATCGATTTTTTTTTTTTTTTTTTTACAGAGAGAAAGGAAGAGGGAGAGAAAGTTAGAAACATTGATCCGCTGCCTCCTGCACACCACCCACTGGGGATGTGCCCACAACCAAGGCACACGCCCCTGACCGGAATCAAACCTAGGACCTCACAGTCCTCAGGCCATCACTCTATCCACTGAGCCACACCGGTTTCGGCAACCATACTTTTCTTTTAAAAAGTATGTTTTTATTGATTTCAGAGAGGAAGGGAGAGATAGAACCATCAGTGATGAGCGAGAATCATGGATCGGCTGCCTCCTGCACCACCCCAGCTGGGGCTTGAGCCCGCAACCCAGGCATGTGCCCTTGGCTGGGAATCGAACCCAGTGCCCTTCAGTGCTCAGGCCGACGCTCTATCCACTGAGCCACACCGGCCAGGGCTCCCAGAGGTTGGTGTTTTTTTTTGTTGTTGTTGTTGTTATATATTTTATTGATTTTTTTTTTTTTTTTTTACAGAGAGGAATAGAGAGTTAGAAACATCAATGAGAGAGAATCATTGATCAGCTGCCTCCTGCACCACCCCCCTCTCCCCCACTGGGGATGTGCCTGCAGCCAAGGTACATGCCCTTGACCAGAATCGAACCTGGGACCTTCCAGTCCGCAAGCCGACGCTCTGTCCACTGAGCCACACCGGCCAGGGCTCCCAGAGTTCTTTAACACAAATCCGTGGAGCCCAGACAGCCAGCTGTGCCATCCTCACGGGAGCAGCCGTGGGTGGAGGTGGCGGCGCTGGGATGGTGAAGGGACTCTCCCGGGTACCCTAACCGTCACCCCCGTTCACCACATCTCCTAAGCGCCGGGTGCCGGGGGCGGGTGTCCCCACAGTCGGGCGTCGCGCAGCGGGACCTGAACGTGAAGGAGGCCTGGGCGCAGGGCTTCACGGGGCGCGGCATCGTGGTCTCCATCCTGGACGACGGCATCGAGAAGAACCACCCGGACTTGGCAGGCAATTATGTGAGCAGGCGGGGGAGGGGGCCGCGCCGCCCGCGGGCGGGGCCGTCCGGGGCAGTCCTCCCCCGGCCCGCCCGGCTGGGCCGCCCCCGACGGCCGCCGTGTCTTTCCCCCCCAGGACCCGGGGGCCAGTTTCGACGTCAACGACCAGGACCCTGACCCGCAGCCGCGGTACACGCAGATGAACGACAACAGGTCAGAAGCCGCGGCCCCGGGCCTCTGCCTCCCTCCTCCCCGTGCAGACGTGTGCTCCCCTGACACGTGTGTCTCTCCTGCCGTCCGGGCCCTGGGGGAGGGTCTGGCCACAGCCCAGGCGGAGGGGGTGGCGGGGGACTTGCTCACACGTGGGACAGAGGTCATGGGTGGAGGGGCTTGGTGACCTTTCTGCTCTGTCCACATTGACACTGCGCGCTCGGCCCCGGCAGGCATGGTACCCGGTGTGCGGGCGAGGTGGCCGCCGTGGCCAACAACGGCGTCTGCGGTGTGGGGGTGGCCTACAACGCCCGCATTGGAGGTGGGTGTGGGCCTTGGGGCTCCCCCTGTTTTTTTTTTGGGGGGGGTGTCCCTCTGGGTGGGGTTTTTCTCTGTCCATTTTCCCACCTGGATCCTTGTGGCCATATGGCTAATCCTTAGACGGCTCTTAGCGACTCAGAGAGCCGAACCCCCAGTGCTGGAGGCCCTGGGCTGGGGTGGGTGAGTGTCTCTTAGCAGGAGTCTCCCTCCTTTCTCCCCATCCGTTCCGAGTCCTTACATGGCAGGCTCTGACCGCCACGCTCCTGATCCAGAGCCTGATCCAGAACAGTCTCTCCCTCCCCTCTCCCTGGGTCTGGTCTTTGAGAGGAAGAGTCAGGTGCGGGAGTTCAGGCTCCGGGTCTCCCTGCACAGGCTCTCTCCTCCCTGCCCATCCTCCGGGTGCAGGGTGGGGGTGCTCCGGGTGCAGGGTGGGGGTGCTCCAGGTGCCCCCGGCAGCGGGACCCATGCAGCCTCCCTCCCCCCCGTTGTGGCCAGGGGTGCGCATGCTGGATGGTGAGGTGACAGACGCGGTCGAGGCACGCTCGCTGGGCCTGAACCCCAACCACATCCACATCTACAGCGCCAGCTGGGGCCCCGAGGACGACGGCAAGACCGTGGACGGGCCGGCCCGCCTCGCCGAGGAGGCCTTCTTCCGGGGGGTCAGCCAGGTGAGAGTGCTCTGCTCCCCATGGCCTTCTCCCTCGTGCTTTTCCGTTTCTGTTTGTTTACTTTGGGTATTGATTTTTTACAGAGAGGAAGAGGGAGGGAGAGAGAGAGAGAGAGAGAGAGAGAAACATCAATCAGCTGCCTCTTGCACCGCCCCCCACTGGGGATGTGCCCGCAACCAGAGTATGTGCCCTTGATCGGAATCGAACCCAAGACCCTTCAGTCTGCAGGTTGACACTCTATCCACTGAGCCAAACCAGTTTCGGCTAGGGCTCCATTTTAATTGTACACAGAGCATGTTTATTAAAATGTTAGGCGACTAGAAGGACAGAAAAAGAGAAAAAGCAAGTTAAAATCACCCACAACGCCACCCCCCGGAACCACCGCTCTGAGCCTCTGGTGGTCCAGGTGTCCTGTTGGTCTGTGCACGGACAGACGGACAGACATCCGGGCGTGTTTACCCACCAGGGGGATCTGGGGCGGCGGGCAGGGGGTCTCTGAGAAGGAGGCCCCAGCCTTCCCCATCTCCTGCTGCGTCTCTTCCTGCCAAGTCCCCCTCCCTCCCCGCCAAGGCCCGTTCCCCAGTGACCCCATCCCCCCCTGTCCACAGGGCCGCGGGGGGCTGGGCTCCATCTTCGTCTGGGCCTCGGGGAACGGGGGCCGGGAGCACGACAGCTGCAACTGCGACGGCTACACCAACAGCATCTACACGCTGTCCATCAGCAGCGCCACGCAGTTCGGCAACGTGCCCTGGTACAGCGAGGCCTGCTCCTCCACGCTGGCCACCACCTACAGCAGCGGCAACCAGAACGAGAAGCAGATTGTGAGTCTCGCCCGCGGGCGCCGGGGAGCGGGCCGCCTGCCAGCTCTGCCCAGACCCATCTGCCTCCCACCCGCCCGCCCGCACGAGCGCGCGCCTGGTGGCTGCATCCTGGTGTGGGAGTCGGGGGGCTCGCTCAGACTCCTGGGGGCCGTGGAGCCCCTGAGAAGTGCAGACTCTTCCTAAAAACAGTCGGGGTTTCTTTTTGGTTTTAAAGTGTATTTTTAAAAAAATATATTTTATTGATTTTTTACAGAGAGGAAGGTAGAGGGACAGAGAGCTGGAAACATCGATGAGAGAGAAACCTTGACCAGCTGCCTCCTGCACACCCCCTCCTGGGGATGTGCCCGCAACCAATGTACATGTCCTTGACCGGAATCGAACCTGGGACCTTTCAGTCCGCACACCGACGCTCTATCCACTGAGCCAAACCGGTTTCGGCTTGTTTTCTTTTCTTTTTAAGTGTATTCTTTTAATTGATTTCACCGAGAAAAGGAAAGGGAGAAAGAGAGAGAAACATCAATGATGAGAGAGAATCGTGGATCGGCTGCCTCCTGCACGCCCCCTCCTGGAGATGGAGGCTGCAACCTAGGCCCCTGACCTCGATCAGAATCAAACCCGCGACCCCCTCAGTCCTGAAGCTGACTCTATCCACTGTGCCACACCGGCCAGGACCAATCGTTGCTCTTAATGATCTCCGACCCCTGGTGCAATCCTCGTGTTCCCTGGGAGACTGGGCAAGAGTCCAGCATTGGCCTGTCCCCAGCAGGGCAGCCCTGGGACACGGACTGGCCCTGGCTCACCACCCCCCACCCTGTGGGCTCAGGGCCTGTAGGAGAGGGAGGGCAGGCAGGCGGCCGCTCTGGCATCCACCCACCACGTGCCCAACGGCCCCGTTGCCCCTGCAGGTGACCACTGACTTGCGGCAGAAGTGCACCGAGTCTCACACGGGCACCTCGGCCTCTGCCCCCCTGGCAGCTGGCATCATCGCTCTCACCCTGGAGGCCAAGTAAGCGGTGGGAGCGCAAGGGGAACGTTCGTACGGCGCCCCCTGCAGGGCAGCCCCGTGTCTCCGGCGCCCAGAGACCCAGCCCCGCCTCTCCCTCCCTCCTTTGCAGTAAGAACCTCACCTGGCGGGACATGCAGCACCTGGTGGTGCAGACCTCAAAGCCAGCACACCTCAACGCTAACGACTGGGCCACCAATGGGGTGGGCCGGAAAGGTGAGGACGAGGTGGCCCGGGGGGCCGGATTGGGGGCCGGTGGGGGGCACTCTGTGCTGACCCCGCCTCCCCCCGCCACCCCCCCCCGCAGTGAGCCACTCCTACGGCTACGGGCTGCTGGACGCGGGCGCCATGGTGGCCTTGGCCCAGAACTGGACCACGGTGGCCCCCCAGCGCAAGTGCACCGTCGACATCCTCGCCGAGCCCCGGTGAGGCCTGGGGCTTGGCTGGGGGGCAGGGAGGGAGGCCCTCGGGCCCCTCCGGGCTCAGCTGAGGGACTCCTCCCCCCGGTGCTCTCTGCTCAGGGACATCGGGAAGCGGCTGGAGGTCCGGAAGACGGTGACCGCCTGCCTGGGCGAGGCCGGCCACATCACGCGGCTGGAGCACGCGCAGGCCCGCCTCACGCTGTCCTACAACCGCCGGGGCGACCTGGCCATCCACCTGGTCAGCCCCATGGGCACCCGCTCCACCCTGCTGGCCGCCAGGTGCCCGCCCTGCCCCCTACCCGGCCCGTCCTCCCCTCAGGCCCACACGCATTTGCTCATTCATTCACTCACTCATTCACTCACCTAGCCCTCATGGTCACCGAGTGCGCCCGCTGCTGGCATTCTGGCGGGGATGGCTTTGTCCCGTGGGACCGTCCTTATTGCAGGAACCCCCGATTCCGCCCACCAAATGCCACGCACGTCTGTGTGCCTTCCCCTGCGCACACATTTCCAGAAACTTCCTGTTAAGAATATCTGGCCGAATGGGAGTCGGGGCCAGCAGTCATTGCCAGCCCTGCGGTGGGAGTAGGGTGTGCGGTGGGTTTGGGGTTTGGGGCTCCCGGCTGGGGTCCCCCCCGGGGCTTGAGATGGCTGTGTGCTCCCCGCCTCCCCCAGGCCACACGACTACTCGGCAGATGGGTTCAACGACTGGGCCTTCATGACAACCCACTCCTGGGACGAGGACCCCTCTGGCGAGTGGGTCCTGGAGATTGAGAACACCAGCGAAGCGAACAACTACGGTACGGGGAGCCCCGGGGGGAGGGGTACTTGAGGGCGGTGTGGGGGGTGGAGGGAGAGAGCCAGGGTCCCCGTGGGGTCCTCATGCCGCTCACCCTGGCCTTCCCGCCCCCCCCCCCGCCCCCCCGCCCCCGCCTGGAATAGGTACGCTGACCAAGTTCACCCTCGTGCTGTATGGCACGGCGCCCGAGGGGCCGCCCACGCCGCCCGAGAGCAGCGGCTGCAAGACGCTCACGTCCAGCCAGGCCTGTGTGGGTCAGTGATGGGCGCTGCGGGGTCTGGGGCCCGAGGCTGGGGGACACGGGGTTGTTCTAGGAGGAGAGGGGGTCTGAAGGAATGCTGCATCCCATGGGGTGGCAGTGCCGGGGCTAGGGGCTCCGGGGGGGCTGCTGGGGCCTCACCCGCCGCCCCTCCCGCCGGCAGTGTGCGAGGAAGGCTTCTCCCTGCACGAGAAGAGCTGCGTCCAGCACTGCCCGGACGGCTTCGCCCCGCAAGTCCTCAGCACGCACTACAGCGCCGAGAACGACGTGGAGCCCATCCGCGCCAGCGTCTGCGCCCCCTGCCACCCCTCGTGCGCCACGTGCCGGGGGCCGGCGCCCACGGACTGCCTCAGCTGCCCCGGCCACTTCTTCCTGGACCCCCTGGAGCAGGTCTGCTCCCGGCAGAGCCAGAGCAGCCGCGAGTCCCCGAAGCAGCCGCCGCTGCCGCCCACCCCGCCGGCCCCCGAGGAGGCGGAGGCGGAGGCGGAGCCGCGGCCCCGGGCCGGCCTGCTGCCCTCGCACCTGCCCGAGGTGGTGGCCGGCCTCAGCTGCGCCTTCATCGTCCTGGTCTTCGTCACCGTCTTCCTGGTCCTGCAGCTGCGCTCCGGCTTCAGCTTCCGGGGCGTCAAGGTGTACACCATGGACCGCGGCCTCATCTCCTACAAGGGGCTGCCCCCCGAGGCCTGGCAGGAGTGCCCGTCGGACTCGGAGGAGGACGAGGGCCGGGGCGAGAGGACCACCTTCATCAGGGACCAGAGCGTCCTCTGACGAGCGCCCCTCGCACCCCGCCGCCAGGCCCCTCCCCTCCTCGGGCACTTTTTAACTCACCAAAGTATTTTTGTATCTCGGACTGGGCTCGGGCCCCAGCTGGCGAGGCCCGGGGAGCAGGGGTGGCTTCCCACCTCACTCCTGGGCCTCCTGGCTGCCTGAGGTGGGGGCCCGGGGCCAGCTGGGGGGGGGGCAGGGGAGGGCCCCCCACACACACACCCTCCGCACCCTCTCCGCGAGGGGAGGAGCGACACCTTAAGGACAGCTTCCCGAGCTCGTCCAGGCCCCAGCCGGAGTCCCTGGGGGGCAGAGGCGATGAGGGCCCCCCTCGGGGCTCCTGGCCCGGCCGCAGCTCTGGCTTCTCCCCGTCCCTCTAAAGCAATAACGGTCCCCAAGCAGGCAGCAGGGAGGCTGGCCCAGGGACACAAGGAGGAGGCGGCCACCTCTTCAAGGGCTTGAGCATCCCTGACACCGCCCCCACCTCCGATGAGCCTCAGGCAGAAGCAGTGATGGAAGGAAGGAAGGGACCAAGGCGAGGCAGGTGCTTCAAGGGTGCGGGGGCGCGCACACGTGTGTGTGTGTGTGTGTGTGTGCGCACGCGTGCTCACACGTGTGTGTGTGTGCGTGTCTCTGCTCACCACAGCTGGCTGCCCGCTGAGCGAGGCCGGCCCAGCCCCCCACGCCGGTGTCCTGACCACCACCCCCTCCTCCTGCCGGGGCCCACGTCCCTGTTTTTTTCTGAGCCCGGGGCTGCCCGGGCTGTGGGCACTCAGTCCCGGAGCCCCCGGGTGGGTGTCGGGGAAGGACGGTGGCCCAGCCAGCCTCCCCCCCGCCTCCCACCCAATGCTGCTTTCCCCTGTGGGGATCTCAGGGGCCGTTTGAGGATATATATATATATATATATTTTCACTCTGTGATTATTTCACTTTAGATGCTGATTTTTTTTTTTTTGTATTTTTTTAATGGGGGCAGCAGCCGGACCACCATCTCCCCACACCCACTTCTCCACCCTCTGCTGTCCCCCCAGCTGCTCTGACACCAGAGGTGTGTGTGGGGGGGGGCGCTGCAGCAGGTTGCTGGGAAAGTGCGGTGTAGCTGAGCCCCCAAGTTCTGAGGAGGCTGCCCAGGGGGGGTCCTTGGAAATGGGGGTCGCGGGAGGAGGGGCGACGGGTGTCCCGCTTCAGATGGGCCTCGCCGTGCCGAGCCGAGGGCTCATGGGTCACTGGTTCTCTAAGTGCCAGGGGCGGGCAGGCAGCGCCGTGCCCCCTCCCACACTGTGCCCTGGTGGAGAAAGCGCTGTCCCAGCCCGCCCCCCACCCCCCCGCCCAGCCCCCCGAGTTCCACTCTTCTGACGTGCCTTTTGCACCCCTCCCACTAGGACAATCAGTCCCCCTTCTGTTCGGGAGCCCTCTTCTTTCTCACCCCGAACCCCGTCCTGGCACCCAAGCCACCTGCCCAGGGGTGCCCGCTCCCCGCCCCCCTCCCCTCCCCTCGTGGCCAGCCCGGCTGGTTTTGTAAGATACTGGGTTGGTCCACAGTGATTTTTTTTTTTCTTTTCTTTCTTCCTTGTAATTTAAACAGGCCCAGCATTGTTGGTTCTATTTAATGGACACAGATAACGTTAGAAGTTTTAAAAAGCGATTAAACTTGCATACCTATGCAATCGAGACCCGGTCTTCTGGTGTGGTGGTACCGTTTCTTCCCGGGACCGCGGGGGGCGGGGGGATCAGCTGCCCAGCGTGACGTCCTGACTGCTGAGGGGTTCCAGGGCCTCTATTGGGGAGCAGAGGGGTCTCAAAGGAGCCAGCATCCCGTCCCACAGGCCTGGTGGCCAGCAGGGGGCGCCCCGTTGCTCAGGGTCTCCCTCGGCTGGAAGAAGGGGCCTGGCCCCCAGGTGTAGGCTGAGGTGTAGGGACCAGGAAGGCCAGCGTGCTCTTACTGGGGAGACCCTGAGCCCCAAGCTGGGTGAACCCTACTCCCCTCCCAGCCTCACCCCCAGGTCTCCCTGGAACAGGAAGCTCCTGTCTGGGACCTATGCTGGCAAGCAGGCCTCTCCTTGGTAGATTTCCTGGGAAGTCTTACGTACACGGAGCCTGCCCCTGAAGGCCCCTCGGGGCACCCCGGGGTGGGGAGTCCCTGGACTGCTCCCCGTCACCCTTCCGGCCACTGGGCAGCTGCTAGGACTGCCCACCTGCCCCAGGACTCCCAGGCTCAGAGGCCCAGCGCCTGCCCGCAGCCTCTCCCAGTGCCCGCCCCTCCTGGGCACCCTGGGGCCACCCTCCGCCCCCACCCCCAGGCCCTGGGGATCGCCGGCCCAGGCTGCCCTCTGCAGGGCTATTCTTCCCCGGCCCCTCCTCCCTTCCGTTTCCTCTGTGGCCGGAGCTGGGGCCGTGCAGGAGGGCCTGGCAGGCAAGGGGGCTACTGCCCGCCCCTTCCCCTCAGCGGCCCGCCCCGGGGCCTGAGCCAACTGAAACCGCTGGAGGAGGAAGCACCGAATCAGGAACTGGCCAGTCAGCCGGGCCTAAGCCAGCCAGCCCTCGGCGCCCCCCTGGAGCAGTTGCCCAAGCCGTGGGTGAGTGGGAGCTCCCAGCCAAGGCCCCGGAGGCAGGCGGAGGGGGGGAGGGTGGGGGGTAGCCCCGGAGCAGGGGGCTGAGGCTCAGTAGGCAGGCAAAAGACTTGACCAGGACCGGGTTGGGCAGGAGTGGGGTGCAGGGGCAGGGCCCGGGCTGTGGCTACCTGGGGCACCTGCTGAGTGGGAGAGCTTGGTCCTACCAAGGGCCCAGGGTGCATGTGCCCCTATAATGGGTGCTGGTGGGGGGAAGGGCCCGGGGAGGAGATCCCTCCTGGTGGCTTTGCTCCAGGACTGGGGAGCGGGTCCCTGGCCCCAGGCCTAGCCCTGGCACAGGGGAAGCAGAGAGAGTCGGTCCCCAGCCAGGTGACGTTGGTACCTAGCTCCCACCCTCCTTCCTCCTGCCTGTCTGCAACTTCTCTTGGTCCTCAGCCCCCAGGCCTCCCTGCCCTACTCCTCCGGCAGCCTGTCCTTCCCTTCTCTGTCCCCAGACCAGCGCCATGGGCTTCTCCTCCGAGCTGTGCAGCGCGCAGGGCCATGGGGCCCTGCAGCAGATGCAGGAGGCCGAGCTGCGGCTGCTGGAGGGCATGAGGAAATGGATGGCCCAGCGGGTCAAGAGCGACCGGGAGTACGCTGGGCTGCTGCACCACATGACCCCGCAGGACAGCGGGGCCCAGAACCGGCCCGGCTCCGACAGCCCCATCAGCCAGGTGAGCTCCAGTGGGGCCTCGGGCCTCCCCGCCCCCTCCCGGCTCTCACCCAAGGAATTCCTGTGGCTCCAGGGTTATCTGCTCCCAAATGCCCCTGGGGAGGGTGAGAGAGGGGCGGTCCCAGGCTCTACAGCCACGGTCCCCTCCCGCCCTGACCCCTCCTGCCCTGTAGTCCTGGGCAGAGATCACCAGCCAGACGGAGGGCCTGAGCCGGTTGCTGAGGCAGCACGCAGAAGATTTGAACTCGGGGCCTCTGAGCAAGCTGAGCCTGCTCATCGGGGTGCGCCAGCAGCTGCGCAAGACCTACAGCGAGCAGTGGCAGCAGCTGCAGCAGGAGCTCACCAAGGTGGGTGGGTGGCAGTCGCCTGGGCCTCTCTGCCAGGACTCGGAGCTGAGAGGGCCGGCTTTTGCACAACGGCCCCTGGATTCACAGGGAAGTGGAAGTCCTGACCGCAGGCCTGGCCCCCGCAGCTTCCTTTCCCGCCCGGTGTGCTGCCTCGCCGGCCTTCCTGTGCGTTTTCTGTCACTCCAGAGTGCTGGGAGTTCAAGGACGAGTGGTCCCACCATGGCCTGGGGAGTGCTGGACACCAGCTGGCTCTGGGGCTGGGAGACGGGGAGAGGAGTGAGGGCTAGCCTGTCTGTCCTTGTCCTGGGGGGGGGGGGGGGGGGGGATTCCTCCCAGGGCCCAAGAGACACCGCAAGGTGAATACAGAGGGTAAAGACTGGGGCTGTGGCCCTGACTGAGTTGGCTCAGTGGATAGAGCATCGGCCTGCGGATTGAAGGGTCCCAGGTTCGATTCTGGTCAAGGGCATGTACCTTGGTTACGGGCACATCCCCAGTGGGGGGTGTGCAGGAGGCAGCTGATCTATGGTTCTCTCTCATCGATGTTTCTAACTCTCTATCCCTCTCTCTTCCTCTCTGTAAAAAAAAAAATCAATAAAATATATTTATTAAAAAAAGAAAGAAAGAAAAAGACTGGGGCTGTGAAGTCAGCCTGCCTGCATTTGAATCCAGCCCAGCTCCTTCATCTCTTGATCTCCCAGCCCCTGGCGCTGTTGATCAACCTGCAACCCGGGCATGTGCCCTTGACCGGAATCGAACCCGGGACCCTTCTGTCCACAGGTCGACGCTCTATCCACTGAGCCAAACCAGCTAGGATGCAACAAGTATTTTTAGAATTGCAATACCTGACAGTTTAGTCAGGGGCACTGACCTCTTTCCCTTAGATTGTCAAGTAAAAAAAAAAATGACAGCAGCTATCCGGCGTGAATGCCTTGTCTGGAACCATAAATATATAAGTCATGTAATGGGGTGTGTCTTGCTGGTCATGTCACATAATAAGGTTGTGTCTGACTAGTTAATTCTTGGTACCAGAATCCTTATATACAAGTATAGACACCTGATTTTTTTTTTCCTCCTTTTTTTGGCACCTGATTTTTTTAAAAGTCACTTTGGAGAAAGAGGGCAGGTAATTACTTTTTTAAATCCTCACCTGATGTTTCCCATTCGTTTTTAGAGAGAGCAGAAGAGAGAAGGAAAGACAGAAAGAAATACAATATCAATGGGATTGAAATACATCAATTGGTTGCCTCTGGCACATGCCCCAACCAGGGCCAGGAAGAAGCCTCTAATGGAGGTGTATACCCTTGACCAAAATCGAACCCGACACCCTTCAGTCCGCAGGCCAGCACTATCCACTGAGCCACACCAGCTAGGGCAGTAATTACTACTTTTTATTAGTAGTAGTAGTACTTTGTAAGTCAATCAAAATTACCCCTCTTTCTCTTGTCAGACCGGCAAAAATATATTTTTCGGTGTGCCGCAGAGTTTTGGTGATGAGTTAATGTGTGCCACGAGATGAAAAAGGCTGAAATAGCCTTTCTAGTTCAATGTACCAGTCAGGTCCCTGTACCACCCCCTTCTACCAGCTCAAAAGCCAGCCTTGCTATGGACCCACAGCGGCCCCTGGTGGCCACTGTCAACCCACTTTTCTCTCTCCCCGAAAGCTTATCTAAAAAAACAGGGTTAGCCAGCCCTGGCTGGTTTGGCTCAATGGCTAGAACATCAGCCCTCAGACTGAAGGGTCCCAGGCTTAATTCCAGTCAAGGGCTCATGCCCAGGGTCGCAGGCTTGATCCGAGTAGGGAGCATTTAGGAGGTAACTGATCAAGTATTCTCTCTCATCATTGATGTTTCTAGCTCTCCCTTCTCCCTTCCTCTCTGAAATCAATAAAAATATATTAACAATAATAAAATAAAATGTTCGCCAGCTGGCCCTCCCTTGAAGGAAAAGGCTGTTACAGATGGGAAAACTGAGGCTCAAAGAGGCTGGGACTGGCCCGACAGCATCGCAGTATCTCAGCAGGGGAACTGGGATGAGAACTCTGGTCTCGACCATCTAGTGTTCATGCCATCTTGCAGGACTCAGTGCAAAATGAAAATGTGGGGCCCTGTCCAAGAATTATTTCCGCTCCCCCCCCCCAAGAAAGTCATTTTGGTCTCATGAACTATAATAAAACTATTTAAGCTATGCTATTTTGTTATGGCAGCCTGAGTTAAGTCATTCACTCTGCCAGACTCCTTTATTTATGGTGATTTTTTTTCTTTTCTTTTTTTTAGCATTTGTATAGGAATTTCTTTTCTTTTTTAATCTTTATTGTTGAAAGTATTACATATATCCCCTTTCTCCCCTCCCCCACCCATTGACCCCTTCTAGCTCGTCCCCTGCTCCAGTCCCTCATCACCCCATTGTCTGTGTCCATGGGCTATGCATATATGCTCCCCAGGTCTTGTCAAAGAATTATTGTTTTTTTTTAAATATATATTTTACTGATTTCTCACAGAGAAGAAGGGAGAGTTAGAAACATCGATGAGAAAGAAACATTGACCAGCTGCCTCCTGCACACCCCCTACTGGGGATGTGCCCGCAATCCAGGAACATGCCCTTGACCCGAATCGAACCTGAGACCTTTCAGTCCGCAGGCTGACGCTCTATCCACTGAGCCACACCGGTTTCGGCTGTCTTGTCAAAGAATTACTGATCATTTCAGGATGGCATCGGCGGCGAACGTGCCTCAGTGTGCAGTTCTGTGTGCCTGCAGTTGGGCCTGCTGCCACCAGATACCCCTCTGGGCCGAGGAGGGGCCGTTGTAACTACCTAGTCCTCTCCCTGCCTCCCCAGGGGCTGTCCTAGGCCTGGCTCCTCTGTCACTGCCTTGGCTGCAGAGGGCAGGCCCCGGAGGCCCGCCGGCACTTCCTGGGGGTCAGACAACCTTGGATTTGCTGCCCTCGGGAGCTGCTGGCCACACCGCCTCTTCTCTCTCCCCAGACCCACAGCCAGGACATCGAGAAGCTAAAGAGCCAGTACCGAGTCCTGGCGCGGGACAGCGCCCAGG